TCTCTGCATGGCGGGGACGGAAACTGAGAACTTCCTCAGAAACGATGTTGAGGGCCTAAAAATCTGAAACACCCAAAAGCCCGAAAGGCCCACCCCCAGGGTTGAGGGCTATGGGGGCTGACTGCGGTGCAAGATGCACATCCATCCTGGCTTCACCTCCGCGGCACGTTTGGTGATTGTTCTACATTAGGGTCCCCTCCCTTTGGGTCTGTCATTGTATAATCCTTACAAACTAGGGCCATGATTCACATGCGCCCTAAGTTCGGGCTTAGAGAGCTTTGGGATTCGGGAGCATCTACACACCTCAAACGAGGTGTGGTCTTGAACGTTTTGCGGGGATGCCACGGGCCGGCCTGCCGGAACTCAACTCCGCATCTTGCGCAGTGCACAGGAAGTTTAGGTCACAGGGTTGTTCGGTGCACACAGCAAGCATGTAGAAGTTTGTTTCCAAGAGCGAAGGCTTTACCGGACCGCCCCCTCCCACTTTGACTGTTACTTACTCCCCATACCGTTTCTTGCTAATGCCTCGTGGCCCGACAAGGCGCAAGAACAAGGATAAAGGATGGCTTTACTTTCGGGCTACTACTTTGTGTTTCTTCATTGACAGCTGGGGGTTTTAGGTTCTTTGGCTTATTTCTACCATACTTTGCTTCATGTGGCTGGACCCAGAATCCAACCCAGAATCGTACAGCTAGTATCCCACATCAATCGTCGCTTGCGAGAGATTGAACGGCGCCTGGCAATTGGCGTCGCAGCCCTCACCCGGTGGATCACAGCCCTCAGCAATGGATGCAAGAAAAGGTGGAAATGACTCCCGGGCAGAGGGGTCTAAGAGAATCTCGAAAAATATGGATCTAATCTATGAGCCTTAGATAGCCTTAGATAGCATGACGTTCCACGGTAGAGGTTAACGCTGGCAAAAGCCGAGCTCAAGTGTTGACCTCTGCTCCTATGGGGGTTGAAGAAGTCTTTGCGCTGTACAGAATCTTCGTACGCCCATTCAACCGCTTAGGGTACTGCTGCTCAGCTACTTCTTGACAAAACTTAACTGACTTCAATCTGATTTCCAAAGCCCAAATCTTCAGCAGCAGCATAGCATTTAAGCCCCAACTTAGGCTTACCTGGCTTGTCTCGAGGCGCACCTGCCCGTAACAAAACACCTGCTCTATCCTGCTTTTGCAAGCCCTTCTTTAGAGAGGAACTCCTTACACATGTGGCCGCAACACTCCACCCCAAGCTCAAGTGCCTTGTATACTATACCCTCAACATTCCCGAGTACGTTGGGCAGATAAAGGGGTTCCGGGTAGGGACCCGGCATTTTTTGGAGCCCCTTCCGCTTTCATCTCCGACAACCTTTGAAACCCCTGGGCAGTCCTCGTTTGTAGCGACCTTGCCGTCGCCGCACCGGTTGGCGAAGAGCATGGAAGTCTGGCTTTGCTCACAGATCTCCTTCAAGACCCGTGGGGGGTTTTTCGAAGAGGTTCGGGCTATCAGCAAACCAGCCCAGAAGCGTCAACCGCACCTCACCATAAGGCCTGAGCTCGCCCCTTAGGTATCCTGTCTACATGAGGGCCCAACAAAAGAAGAACGTTGGGTGCTCTGTAAACTCTATTCCAGCAAGGAAGACCAAGAGGACAAAAACTCTGCGCCTGAACTTGAACTCTGGCACCATGAAACTTAAACAGCCCAAACCGTGGAGCTCCCCCCCCCAAAACCCGAACTCCAACGATTTCGGGACCCTCAGCCCTGAACATCTGCACTTACTGACCCTGCAACAACTGGATCCAGTAGCCATAGAACCCGGAACCCCAAAATGAAACTCAGGCTCCATTGCACTCGCGGGAGCAGCCAAGGCATGAGATCTGAGATGCACTCAGGTTCGAGCTGGGGCTGATGGAGTTTTCCAGATCTTCAGGTTCTCGGGGCTTTCGATTGGTTATCGATAGAGGCTGTTGCAGGAACGGGTTTTGCCCAACGGAGGCAGAACCCCTCCCTAAACCCCAAATCATAAACCCTCAGTCCTACCTGACCTTGGATCACCTTGGGACTGTCTGTGTTTGGGGTTTAGGGCTTAGGATTGAATGTTTAGGGGTGAACTTCAACAAACTTCATCACCAGACGATCAACCACGCGGCCACCTCCAGAGTAGCTCACGAGCCCAACCCCTAAACCCTCTGAACTTCCCTGACCTGATCCCAGTCCAATCCCGTTCATGTCCAGGCTCCGTCGCCCAAACACGAGCAGCTTCTTTGCATAGAGGTCCTGTCAGGGCAATTGGACTTCTTGGAAAGGGGGTCCTGGGAAGTGGGCACTCCGAACTGCCAAAAGACACGCTTTTGGAGCCCACGTTTCGGAAATTTAAGTTCAAGGCCCGGTCCTTCTGCGAGTTGTTGACGTAGGTCTGAACAGCCCAAGGCATGTCGTAGCAGGTGTTGTTGACCTGGGCTTTGGAGTTTAGAGTTCAGGGTTTAGGGTCAGCGGCAGTCACTTCTAAAACGCTAACCCAAACAAAAAACCCGTTAGGCATTCGCAAGTCGGGCTTTGAAGCCCAAAACTGTCAAGAACAGCTCTGCTCGGTGCCACCATGGCCAAAGCTCCTTTTGCCATTCTAAATTTCAAAACCTCCCGCAGCTGCAAGCCAGGGAACGTTGAATCCCATGCACCAGAACCTGGGTGGTTGCTGCTTGATGCTGCTTGCACTGCTCTTCAGACAAGGAGAGACGCGAGGATGTAAAGGGAGAAGATGAAACAAAACCAAGCTTTTAATTTTCGTTTGATCATTCCTGATCTCAGCCACAATCGCAAACTCGTGTTGAAACCAAGGGAGTCGCTGGTTCCCTACACGTAGCCAGCTGCCGCGAAAGGAAAACGTAACCCGAGGCGAAATTAAATCCTGATGTCGCCGTTGTCGCCAGCGCGCTTCTTCTTACAGCAACAACTCCATTGCTCTCTATAACATCTGCAATGTTCTTTAATGTTTTCTTTGATCGAGACTCTCTTGATCGATTGCAGAGTCGTTGTTGGGATGTGGTTTCTTGAGGGCGGCCTCTTGAGGTTACGGTAGGGCCCTTATTCTGGAGTCCGAGGAGTCCGAGGCACAAGCACTCCAGATTAGTCCTCGCATTGGCGCAGGTCAGCGTCAGTGACTTGCCATCGTTCCTTGGAAGCTAAGTCTTGCAAGGTTGGTGAATCGAATGATTCTATGTTTAAAGTCAGAGCCCACCAGCCTGGCAAGAATATCTACACAGTCATCAGCATCAGCAGCGTCAGCAATTTCTACTGAGCAGCGTCTATCGCCTGCTCTTGGCATCCTGTCCTAGGGGACTGGGCAATTTATGGAACTACAGCTGCCTTTGACGCCAACCGCAGCAAGCTAAATAAATTATGCTCAAACTGCTAGAGCATATAAGCCCTGCAAGTCCTAACATCTACAAACTCCAACCGACCTCTCCTTTTGCCGGGCCTCCACATCCTGTAAGGGCTCGCGCCTGGCTCCGGCTTCCAACCCAACTCAAGGCCCCAAGGGCCCTGCAAGGGATGGCTGCCGAAGTTCTTGCTCAGCCTCGGCTTTCGGAACTGGAACTTCAAGGCTTTCCTTCAGCCCGTGCCCCCAAAATTCTATGTCCTCCCCATAGTCCGGCCCCCCACAAACGTTGCCCCGGTTGGTGGTGGTGGTGGTGGTGGTGGTGGTGGTGGTGGTGGTGGTGGTGGTGGTGGTGGTGGTGGTGGTGGTGGTGGTGGTGGTGGGGGGGGGTAGGGGTTTGGGGTTAGGGATGTGGGGTTCTAGGGCGAAGCACTTTTGTGGGATTTGCCGGCTCGTTACAGGTGTTTAGAGCAGGATGTAGGGTTTGGGGGTTTTAGGGTTTAGGGCTTAGGGTTTCCGGTTTGGCGCACAAGGTATAGGGTTTGCATGAGGGTTTTGGGTCTGGGTTGGGGGCGGGGGGACACGCGACACGGAACCACAAAAATCCTCTCAGCCCTGTTGGTTTTCCCATCAACCCAAGACCTCTAGCCTGAAAATCTCTCAAACCCTTGTAAACCTTATACTGATGACGAAGAATGTCTATCATGCCTTAGAATTAGAGAACAGTCTTAAGAATCCCAGACTGCCCAAACGGGGGCTGGAGCGAGGACATGCAAGAGGGCTGTTGGCGGATTCTTGTGGCTTCGGGGGCTAGGGGGTAAGGCCAGGGCTTGGGACGGATCGGGGCGTGGGGATGTGCAGCCGACTGAACCTGACTTTAGTGTACCTTGTCCCACTTTGCACGCTCCAAGTCGTAAGCGTGCCCGCAACTTGACTATATTGGAGAGATGGCACAGTGAACGACGTTACTTTTAGTTTTGTTTTGGCGTCCAGCAACAAGATGTCGTGCCGGACGAACTTCCCACCTTGGGTTAGCGCGGCAAAGACCAGCTCCTTGTAGCTGCCACAGTTACTCAAGTCCTTGGATGTTCAGGCATGGTCTCGGATTTCCGGTTTCTGCACAATCTCTAGCTGCAAGGACTTTTCATTCAAGCATTTCCAAGTATGTTCTGAAGGCGGATACTTGCAGGTTTACAAGCTCACTACACACTTTCTTGCACGCAGTACAGCAGCTCCAAATCTCCAGTCAAAATCTCACAATGTCCACCAGGTTAGGAAAGCTGACGCCGAGGAGGTTCGGAGGACCAGACGCAGAAAGCTTTCTGAATTCTATTCCAGTCATCTCACACCAAAAATGTCAAAGCAAACCAATACTCACTACCAATATCTGCAACCACGAGTGTAGAGCTGAGGTCACCGTGCGCATCTGCAACCAAGGACGACTGGGAACAAGAGTTTACAGAAATGGGCAACAATGCCTACTTGCAAAGATTTGCGAAGCGACATGAAGTTGAAGCCTCCCTGACCCCGAACCCAGCTGAGCCCGCAAAAGCCCAATCTTTGATCAGCTTCGCCTGCCTGACCTGGAGTTTGCTGTCCACACAAGGCCAACTCCTGGCTCTTTTTGTTACTGAGTTCACTCTGCGGTTACGAACATCATGGAGCCCTCAATCTGGGGTTCCCAGCGGCCCAGCGTTAGATTCAGTGAAAGCTGCCGAGCATTCTGCCACAGAGCTTCTGGCTTCGATGTAGTGGGAAACTGCGGTACTGGAACTCTCATATCCACGAATCGGGCCAAGCTAGAAACGGTGGCGAAAGATGGTGAGTGAGCAAGATACTCGGATGCTTGCTTGTGCAGTGGGTTCGGGGGCAAAGTACTTAGCTCACCGTTGAACGGGTCCTCTGTCCGCAGATCCACAGTCTCCGCCTTCTCATGAACCGTCACGGCAGACATTCGCTTGTTGGGGCCTGCAAGCGGCAAGCTTCACATCACCTGCACCCTCCTTTGCCCGCGCTGCATCAACAAAAAGCCGACAAGAATTACGACTGTGCGAAAGTGCAAAGGTAGCAGTAGAATCCACACCACCTCCGACCATGTTGCAGCAGGTGAACTTATCTGCCTCCTGAAGCTTTTGAAGCGGAAACACGAGTGTCCTTGCAACCAAGCAGCAGGTCTCGAGTTGGCACGAAGTGCCTTGGCTCCCAGCACGAGAAAAGCCCCAAAGCGCGACAAAAAGTAAGCACCCTAAAGCAACAGTGCAGTGATTGCAAAATCTGCCCAGAAAGTGCAATCTTGCTTTTCGGGTGCAGCCCTTCAGTGACGTGACGGCCCCGCTCTCTCGCTCATTACACATGTCATTCTTGTGAAGAACGACAACATGGCCCTACTGCCCGCAGGCTTCGACGGCATGGGGCCTTATCGCTTTTCTCCCGTCAGTGGCCATTGGCGTACCTGGGGCCCGATCTCCGCAAGTGAAGTTTTGTGCTGACCAAGTTGCTGCAGCCATCACCATTGTTGAGGTCCTTGTCGTCGCAATCTTCACCTGTCAAGTTCCCAGCACATTCCAGCTCAAACCCTCGAAACTTCAACCCATACAGCCCAGCCCTAGATCGCTGCTCCCACCTAGGACCAAGGTGTGGTCCCCGCAGGTGCCCGTGCAAGGCTGTCCCGGCTGCGAGCAGGTGTAGCCCGGAAGGATTTCGCAACTGAGCAAAGGCTTCAAGGTGGTGCAGGATGTTGCAGGTTTCAGAAGGCTTCAAGTTTTCAAGGTTTAATCGCTCACAAGCCAGGTGAGGCACCACGATCCTGTCGGTTTGGGGTTCATCGGGCTTCTGCAGGGACTTGCAATCCGTCTCTAGAGCCAGGCCAGGGCCTGTAATGAATCAATCGTAGAAGGTCTTTAACGGTTTCGGGACTTGGACGTGTTGCATGGCGTTGCGGCTCTTCTGCAACTTGGTTAGCTTGGATCGCACTCAGGCTGCAGGGGTGAAAGGAGAGCCAAAACAGAGCAGCCGTTTTGAAACGCCCCTTTGGTGCATCTCCACAGCAAAACCTAACAGAATGTCATGCATACCTATGCGCTGAGCAACCAAAGACTCCGACCCCTTCCAAACGAACTGTACAACAACAAGCATGACATCACATCGTCGACAAACTAGAAGCCCTCGATATCCTAAACCCTCAGTCCCTGAAGCTACGAGTACTTGCCCAGAAACTCCTGGCAGCCGATGCTGTAGGAATCGCACTCCTAGTGCTCCGGGTTCAGAACTTCGGTGTGGGCCCCTTTCATTCGGAACTCTTTTCTGCTGGTGACCTAACAGTGGCCTAACATGCTTGTTTCATGGCAATGCAAGCATCTCCTATCGGGCCCTCACGTGCGTTCCGTTAGGGATAAATCGCTCGCTTCTCTGCGGGGGGCGGGTACACTCAACGGAATCTCTTGGGGTTCTCTTCGGGCTTTTCTGGGGGGTGTGGGCACTGGGGATACTCGGCGGGTCTCTGAGTCTCTCTGGGCTTCTCTGCTCTGGAGGTGGGCGCTCCAGGGATGCTCGGTCTCTGCAGGCTTCTCTAGGGGGTGGGCAGGTATACTTGCAGGCGAAGAAATGGGAGTCCTCAGTCATGTCCAACTTGTCATCCCCACATGCAGCCTTGGTTGGCGCATGGAAGGAGCCTCGTCCGCCTCGTCCCACAGGGATCAAGGGCTCTAGCTACTAGAGGCTCTAGCTCACTGTCCCAACGTCAAAAGCCGAACTCCACCACCGGTTAACCTCGCCAGACCTCAGTAGCACGTACGTAACGTACGTAGTAACAATGGCTCCGTGCGATCTGAATGAGCCAACTTCAGTCGTCCTTGGACCCGAAACCCTCCCACAACCCGCAGACCCTGCTCGGGACTGCTACTGTGCTAGTATCAGAGGAGTCATGCGCAACAAACCCGACCAAGCCGTATCCGAAAGCCTACTTGTGCACAAGTCACTTGGGAGACCTCTTTGGCTTGAGCCTCCCAATAGGCAAAGACCTGCGGAGACGAAGCTTTCTTACCTGTTCAGAAAGTTCTACGCCAAGTTCCGATGATGCTGGAAAACGAAGTGAGACTTAGGGCTGCCTTGGGGCAAAATTTGCGTCTTGCAGGAGGTCGGCAAACGGAGGGCGGACACTGACACTGGACAGGCAAAAGCACACTGGACAGGGAAATGGACGTACACTTCCGTATGATATGCTATGAGGCTCAGCTTTATGGTCCGGCTTACGGCTTCGGGCTGACTTGGAGTGTTCAGGCGCGAGATCGCGAATGTAGCTGGAGGGCTCAGAAGGCAAAGGCCCTTATAGGGTTTGATAGGGTTTGCTTAGGGTTGTAAGGCACATGGTGCCATGGTCCATGTGTTGTGAACCTCGCCTTGGAAGACAAGGGGTCCTGTCGCGCCACTTTGGTGTCGATGGGGGTGACCTGAGCAGGCGCTGTCAAGTTGTGAACTGTTAAGTAGGGCGCTCTGGCCGGGGTTTTTGAAAAGCAGATGTTAGCCCCCGCGTTGTGTATTTAGAGTTTAGGAAGATCAGGGCTTGGGGCTTAGGGTTTGCCGAAGATCCATCAGCCGTGGGCTTTCGCAACCTGGTCTCGGCTCTCTCAGCTATGAGGCTGTCGGGCTCTCATATCTGGCAAAGGGAAAAACAGAGGGTTGGTTCCGGACAGTGTCTCTGTGTCTGTCTGTGTCTGTCTGTGTCTGTCTGTGTCTGTCTGTGTCTGTCTGTGTCTGTCTGTGTCTGTCTGTGTCTGTCTGTGTCTGTCTGTGTCTGTCTGTGTCTGTCTGTGTCTGTCTGTGTCTGTCTGTGTCTCTCTGTGTCTGTCTGTGTCTGTCTGTGTCTGTCTGTGTCTGTCTGTGTCTGTCTGTGTCTGTCTGTGTCTGTCTGTGTCTGTCTGTGTCTGCTTGTGTGTCTCTGTGTGTGTGTGTGTGTGTGTGTGTGTTTCTCTGTCTCTGTCTCTGTGTCTGTGTCTGTGTCTGTGTCTCTGTCTCTGTCTCTGTCTCTGTCTCGGTCTCTGTCTCTGTCTGTCTGTGCGTGTCTGTGTCTCTGTGTCTCTGCGTCTCGGCGCCTCTGTGTCTTATTGTCTGTGTCTCTGTGTGTGTGTGTGTGCGTGCGTATATATATATATATATATGCACATGCGCTTTTGTGTTGTCGTCTGTTTGTCGGCACACGTCAGCTGAGGCAAGCGCCAACTTCTTGTTATTGTGCCCGTCCGTCTCGAACTTTAGGAAGCTCTTGTCCTTAGAGCAAAAGTGAGTCGACGGGACATTCCAGCTGTGCCAGGACGCCCCGTCACAACTTCTTCAACTCGCAGCCTTGTACGTAAGCCACAATGGGTCAGGATTGCCGAGGTTCGGAGACGAACTTCAGGGCATCCATCTCGACGATCTCACCTGGCAAGGACAAACTGCCGGTATCACTGTATTGGCCGAGATAGACCTTGAAAGGGCTTCCGTGCTTCAGGCCACTTCAGGCCACTGGGCTCAGGGACTTGGCGCGCTCAGCCTCACTCCGCCGTCTTCACCCCTCTTGGCGCTCTTATGCATCCATTCTCAGGGGCACGTGGTGTCCGAACGATCCCTGAGGCCCTTGCCTCCTAAATCTCAACAAGCCCGTCTTTTAGCGATATTGGGGCATGCACAGGGATCTTTCCCACGCCCAGAAGCAGCCAATCTCCAGAAGAAAACACGAAAGAAAAAAACTTGCGTGAACTTGAAGGAGCATACTCACCGGTCGGATGCCTTTATTGCATTACACTCATTCAGGCCGTAGCTCAGCCCGGCCTCTGAAATCCTTTACGCTCGTTGTTGCGCCCCACGAAAATTCAAACACTTCCCCTGACACTTCAACCCTACCATGAGTACACTTTGCCGCTACTTCATCCTGAAGCCCACTAAGCCTTCGAAACCTCAACCTGAACCTCAATGGTTTACAAAACCATTTTTCTTGCTGCCACTGAAGCCCCTAAACCATTGTTGACTTACTCAAACACGAAACCCTAAAGCCGAACTGGTTCCTTAATACTTAAGTCTCGGCACCCGTACCCTCATGGGGCAGGGTTGGGACTCCAGGGTTGCGCCTTTGAAGCCTCTACCCTCGAGTTTGGGGGGTTTAATGCAAGTTCCCTCTTGGGAATCTTGGGTCTTGCACACAAATCAGTCTCTCAATGGACTAAGCTTGCCAACGCTTACTTCTGAGGGCGGCTCCAAACAAACAAAAGCCAAATCGACATAGCAACCCTCGACCCACTCTTGGAGCGAAGGAAGCCGGCATCGAAACTTGTTTAAAGGGTTCAGAGTTAAGGGTTTTGTTTAGGTTTTAGGGTTCTCATCGCTTGCGCTCGGACAAGCCAGGCGATGTTTAATTCGGGTTGAATGAGGGTTGAACGATAAATGACCCTCAGTCCTAAGCCAAGAAGACCCGAACCGCCCTAACCACGCCCTTGCCAACCCCTTTAGCTCTAAACGGCGTGGGCCTCCCAGCGGGTGTCTGCAACAAATGGGGGGAGGGCAAACGGGTGACGTGATTGTTTTACAGAAGTTCCGAACAGTTGGAAAAGACTTTATGCCCTTTGTTGGGCATGCATAAAGCCAGCAAGGCTTGGATCAGGTGCGACTCGATTTTCGATCAGCACCATGAACTTTTCCAGAGTCGCCAGCAATTCGCTTGTCATGCTAATTAATTCTCGCCACTTCCTCTTCTTCGCCTCCCGACCCAACATTCGATTTAACTCGAGTCGAGTCCGTGCGAGGCGTTGCTCACACCGCAGCCTCCTCTCCTCCTTGTTCTTCTCCATAGTTGTCGAAGTCCAGATTGCTCGGGGGCCCTTCTTTCGTGTAGTACTTCTGTGTTTCCTCCCCCGCCTTCAGCTTTGACTCGGGACTTTAGTGCCCAGTTTCAGCGGGGTTGCTTGGCTGCAGTTTCTTTTGTACAGGCATCTTCCACGGGCTTACATCCAGGATCACTCGGGTTAAGGAATCAATGTTTCGGCCAGTCAGGCCTAAACTGTAAGGATGGTTCTAAATTCGACTTTTATTGTTTAGGCCCATGCCTTCTATTTATAACTCTAAG